ACCGACGTAACAGTACATACCCTCAAGCTCATCACGGCTACTTCATTCATCAGCCCGACATCCGTAACGCCCCTCAGCGACGTATTCTCGGCCTCCGAGCACAGCAGCTCGAACTGCGGCACCAAGCTTTCCCCTTGGAGCAATAAGTTCAATTCCATGGGAACCTCGATAAAACGAGATCACCGCGCGCACCGCTGCATTGGTGGAGCCTTCCTAGAACATACGGACGTCGTCGGGGTCCAAGTCGGATTCGGACTCATCCTCCTCAGCCACATTAGCAGCCGCTGAGGAACTACCTCCCGTCTCAGCGACTGGAACCACCAATTGAGCCGCCGAAGCGACGGTATCATCACGGCCTAAGCCAACCGGGGCAACCCCCATTGTTTGTCCGCCCTCAGGGGCAGGCACCGCAACAGCACTCCTCTCCGCGTCTGCCGGCGGGGAGTCCAAATTAATTACCACAGGAGGAGCCGACGCGAACGCGACCCTACGCCTTATCAACGGCCTCTCCTCCTCCCCATCTGATGACAACTCCGCTCTAGGGCGCACAACCCCGATGGCCCCTCGTCCCGAAGTAGGGTCCGTGATGGAGAAGAAACCGCTGAAGACTCGACTCATGCCGCCCTCGGTGTTGAGCGCGGCACTGGCGCTGCAGTAAGCCGAGCAACTGCACCAGGCAGACGGAAGGCCAACTGAGGGGCCCTGACGCGGTGCGTCTTCCCTAATCACAAGAAAACAAGGTTAATGAATAAAGCTGAAACAAAGCGGAACAGAAGAAGAGACCAATTTTTTACCTGCCACAGGCCTACGGCCATGCCTCTCCCAGAAAGACGCCCACGTTCGTATCCCCCTCGTATGGGGGAGTACGGCCTCGACCCATTCGCGTATCAAAGGCAATGGGGGCGGCGGCGACCTATCGGCTACAAAAAAGACACGAGTTAACGCTCATAAGCACATCATAAAATGGGGAATAGAGGAATTCAACCGCTAAAGAACTTACGTGGATGGTTCCAGGCCTCTGGGAACCCAGTAGCATCCGCCACCAGGTGTTGGGTCATGATATAAAAGAAATGCTCAAAAGGGCGGGGGTCGACCTCGTCATCCAATCTCCTGACCAAGCCCCTCGACCCACGAGGGCACGCCCGAATCATAGTTTCGCGGACTCTTTGGGGAGCGTAGAGACTCAGCACATGCTACAGCGTGACCTCCCTATGGGCCAATTCCGCGTACTTGATGAACATCGCCAACAATTTGTAGAGGGAAGGAGTAAGCTGACTCGGGCACACTACCAAAATTTGATAACCGTACAGTATAATCCAAGGCACGTTTTGAAACCTTTTTTGTGGAAGTTATATATTCAGTTTATTTACAAAAACTTCAGCCCATCATTCGGTATCTTTCCTGCTCTATTCTCATCTACAAATCAACCGTATCTCATATTCTATACATGCTTATCAATTGGTGAGTATGTTTTGCAGAACTCAACCAGGCAGATGAATTATAAACATATGAGTTTTCATTTCCTTAATTCGCGAATGAAAATTACCGAGTTGGGTTTTCACGATTAGGTTAGGGTTTGGCTTTAATGTTTGTGGAGGGATTTATCATTGGGTTCCAACAATTGAAAGGAGAAAACTGAATCTGCAATTGTAGTTGATTTCCCAAAATCCGATCCAGGTAGGATAGTTTCCATGGCAGAACATGCATTCAAAAGGTAAGATTTGAGATCAATAGATATATTGATCTTTGTTTTGTTTATTCTGAAAATTTTGTTTTCAACAGTGTTATTGTGGTTTGCTAAAGTTGTCGTCTTTTACTTTACGTTACTTACTAAACGGTTAGTAGTGTCAGAACAAAACTTACGTANTATAAAAGAAATGCTCAAAAGGGGCGGGGTCGACCTCGTCATCCAATCTCCTGACCAAGCCCCTCGACCCACGAGGGCACGCCCGAATCATAGTTTCGCGGACTCTTTGGGGAGCGTAGAGACTCAGCACATGCTACAGCGTGACCTCCCTATGGGCCAATTCCGCGTACTTGATGAACATCGCCAACAATTTGTAGAGGGAAGGAGTAAGCTGACTCGGGCACACCCCGTAATAACGGCAGAAATCCACCACCAGCATTGGGAGCGGGATCTTGAACCCCAACCTGAAAGGATAGGCGTAAAAGACACAGTATCCCCTGCGGTCGGTGTGGACCCTCTCCTTGCTTCGAGCGAGAACGATGTCTGCATGGGTAGGAACGACCCCCTGTTCCCGCAATCGGGCCATCCCGATCTCCCCCATCAACTGGGCTTCATCCACCGGTTCCTCTCCATTGTCGACGGTGAAATCAATCGCCAGACCTCCGGGCCGAGGAACCACCTCGTCAACCGACGGAATTTCGCCGGACTCCATCTGTTCGGCACCTCCCATTGCCGGAGATGGCCCTTCAACTACCGAAAAATCTACCGGAGGAGCACCGTGGGAAGAACTGACTGCCATTGTTGATCTAATGAAGACAAATGGTGTCACAATCAAAGGAAAGAAAAGAGAAGATGAATTAGCAAAACGAAAAAGTTTCCTCAGAATCTCTCTCTCAGATGAACAATGAAGATATGAGAAATGAATGCCTCATCTCACCTTTATAGGCAACATAAATGGCTTTTGCGAAACCCAATAGCCATCATTAACTGCACGACCAACCGTAAAACGGTTCGGTTCTGTCGTAGCAAGCGTCATTATGACGAGCTCCATAAAGCGGCTTCTCAGCCATCCGCCAGCATACCGCCGTCAGAACAGTCGCTACGACCTGCGAACACTGAAAGAAAGTGTCGTACGCCGTTAAAATTTTGGACGACCAAATACGTACCCATCACATATTCATTCCCCACGGCCATCTCCAATATATGAAAGGCTACGGCCATCTTGATCTCCAATATATGAAAGGCTACGGCCATCTCCAATATATGAAAGGCTACGGCCATCTCCAATATATGAAAGGCTACGGCCATCTCCAATATATGAAAGGCTACGGCCATCTCCAATATATGAAAGGCTACGCCCATCTCCAATATGTGAAAGGCTACGGCCAACCTCAACATATGAAAGGCTACGACCATCTCTAATGTATGAAAGGCTCTCCAATGTACGAAAGGCCACGGCCAGCTCCAACGTGTAAACGGCTAAGGCCACCGTCGCCAATAAATCGACTCCCTTATTCGAGTTGTTTTCAAATCACAATCGATGAAGTCCGCTCATCGAGCTCGGCCAAGGCCCGACCTCAATAAGCGGAGGGACTAACTGTATGGGTCAAAATCCGACCCCACGATAATTAACGGAGTTAATCTCGTCCTGAGCTAAGACATAATTAATGAAGTGGTATGGCCACTTATTCGTAACAGGACTCGACTCTTGTCCGATTTAATCTACGAGGGTACGGCCCAGTCATTCCCCCATGGGGACGGAACTTCAGCATGGCCACGGCCATTTATCGCCAGCTCACAAAGCTCACATCTATAAATACTAAGAGCAGTAGCCCTAGAAAAGGGGGGCTTCTTGACCACTAGTGAGAGGAGAGAGAAACGAGAAAATATACCCCTCTTACGGGAAGAGAAAAACACCATTGTAAGGCTCTGAACCTCTTCATGGAGAGGCAGACCAAACAAATATTATCAATAAAGGTTTCTAAGCTTCTCCCCCTAATTCTGAGTTCTTATTTTAGTTTCTTTCATTTGGTCCAACGGATTATTACAATTTGCTATGATTATCCCGGGATTAATTTATATTGTTTTGTACTCGTAAGATGTGTAACATCTTTTGAGCAAACAAAAGACACGCAGCAACACATAGACACCACAATCAATTTTAATTGCTTTTTGATAATCTCCCTCAACTTAGCTCTGGATTCGGACACTTGTGAAAACGTCTCCCGACATTCGGTGGTGTATAAGCCGTGAAATGGTGCACAACTTCTCTACATCAACATCTCCTTCTGACCCGTAAGAATTGTTACTCGAACACTCACTCGTCCATTCTTCTTTGGTTTTGAAATTGAACCGAAAACTAAAACCTAAAACTAATTCTAAACTTGAATTTGGAAAGTAACTGTAATTGATGCCCCCATCAGAAACCTAGCCGAAAATTCTGGAGAAGATGAGACGGCTTTAGAAGAGGGCTTGCTGATGAGGTGATCTAATTTTGTTCGCTAGGTAGAGAAGTGGAAAAAACAGATGGGTCGTGGTTGGGGGGTTGGAGGATTTCAATTAGGACACTGTGTCACAACTCTATGCTAATAAGGCTAATAAAATCCAAACTAATTTTTCAGTGAGAGTCGTTTGCTGATAAGGGCATTTTTAGGCGTTTTCATTAACGGGAAGAGTATAAACAACCCCAACTTTAAACGGAGGGCAAATGTGTTCCATAGTGCATAGCTCGTGGGTAATTTTGACCCTTTTTCGTTAATACTATATCCCAACATCAACATCCTTGACATTAAATTTGTTGAGAAGGGCTTAGCCACCAAATCATCCATCACCATGTATTCACCACATTCTTCATAAAAACTACTCCTCATTCCCTGTGAAGCAACATACATCGACATACGGTTTGACATATATGTCAACTTATTTGACATACGGTTCCGACAATGTGGACAGGCAGCATTAGAGTCCTCTGTAACATGCAATCTGGTTATTGTCATTTTCGCACGTAGATCTTGAGCTCCATCTGGCTAATGTTTGTATGCTTGAAGTCCAGTTTCATCCTCTTCTAATTGAGTACAAGGTCTTTTTTTTTCCTTTATGTTTGCATGCTTTTCTTTAGTTGTACATTTCTTTTAGCAGTTTAAATGTATTAATTTGCTCTATACGTAAAATAACGTTAACGAACAAGAAAACAGATGTGCTGAAGTGCAACACCTTTTGTACAGCTCAACTGGTCACATGCGAGGCACAGATCTCAAGACAATAAGATGCTTGCGAACAGATACTATATATTACAAGACTGAAAGCAGTTAACATAGTGAAAAAGAATCTCATAATAGACAAAGTAAGATTTAGCAATGGATAACTGAACCTACAAACAAAAGGTAGCCACTAAAAGGACAATTATAAACTGAAACATCCAATTCCATAATGTCTGCTTTAAATAGCTCTTCTCCGCTTTACACTCTTCTTGAAAACACTTGTGGGAACTGTGCTCATGAAAACACTTGTAAGAACTGTTTTCGACTCGAAAGATGCCTTCAGCAACTTCAACGCCTGCAAAATGATAGTAGGAGTTTACCAAGTGCGAAGAAAAATTTAAAAAAGAAACAGAAAAAAACATGGAAAGATACTTAATTACTACTAATTGATTACCTCTTCCATTCCTAAATTTACTACTTTCTCCTTTAGTACACCAACATCCTTCACATTAAACTTGTTGAGAAGGGCAATGCTAGAAATGGCGGACATAGGCTTAACCACTAAGTCATCCATAACCATGTATGTTACCATCTCCTTCACAAACCCCCTTGTAGCTGCGACAGCTTCCTTCACTCCCGGTGGAGCAACATACGTTAACCTTCTTGTCATCGTACACCTCCCACAATCTGGACAGACAGCAAGGGTCATCAGAAACTTTTGCGTGACGCACTGAGTTGCTACATCCGTAAAAGGTCCTCTGAGTCGGAACGTCATTAAGCAATAGGAAAGGAACGGAAGCGATCCCAACTGAAGACTTTGGTTTTAAAAGGATATCTTTGCACTGGTTCGATTGGATATAGGCATCCTTCAGATTTTCTACGCTTCCGTAGAGGTTAGTCAAGGATCCACTCATTCCTTTCTCCTTAAGAAGCTTAGTTACAGTGCCCACAGGCAATGTGAGAATGTGAAAGAGGAAATCTACACAGTCCTTTTCAGCCTCAGCAAATAGAACTTTACCAGCCTTGGTGTCGATCAGAAGCTTCATGCTCAATTTGGTTTCAGAAATCGCCATTTTGGTCGGCTGATAATCGAAGGCGAGTTTTTAGGATCAGGGAATTCTCATGTGTAGTGGACGTTGATGACTTATCCGTAAATAGTCGCAATTGCTTCATCACCAGATTTTTGACACATTAGGGTCCGTTTGGAAAGCCACTATGTAATTGGAATTGGTGTAATTACTAGAATAGTAATATACAGCCTAGTAATTACGACGACTTGTTTGTTTGTATTGCGTAATTATATTGTAATTACAAGTTTACTGTTTGGTTGCACAAATATAATTACACAGTTAGATTAAATTTTAAATAAAATAATTATCAAAACATAATAGTTAGTATAATAAATATATAACTATAAAGTATTAAAGTATAAATGATATCATATTTGGTATTTAAGATGTATATTTTTTCGTGAATATACATTAATTAGTAATCATATATTTATAACTAATATTATAAAAATAATTTATAATATATTTTAAATTAATAACATTTAGTTTAGATACTTAAAAAACTAAAAATATACGTCTTGTAAGAACATCATGGAATTTGTGTTTGATAAAATAAATTAATATTTATAAATATAATATCATAACATTATTCAAATGTTTGACAAAACTAATCTATCAATTCTAACTAAAAAATCAACAACATGCAATATGAGTCAATACTACTAAAATAAGCAAATTGAAACCATGAATATAATACAAGTTCAAATTTCAAAAAAAATAAATATTAGTTCAACATATGTCAAATTCCAACATAATAATAGTAAGTTCCACTACAATTTAAGATTAGGAAACATAATAAGTTTATAACCACATTCAACAACAAAATTCCAATTTAATTGCATCACTCATTATTTAAAATATTAGGAGGTGTAGTTTCAAAAAATAGAATAATAAACTAAATAAAAAATAAAATATAAGCAATTACATTAAATCACAAGAAGTAAATGTAGAGAAATAAAAGATAAATAATGTACAAAGAAAAATATATTTTAAAATTTCACAAGTAAAAATAATTTAAAAATTAAAAAATAGAAATAAAATTTATAAAGAAAATAAATTAAAATAAAAACTAAAAAGAAAGAAACTAAAAAGCAACCTTGTAATTACACAGTGTAATTACCACCAATTCTCACCTACCCTTTGAGAATTGGAGAGTGTAATTACACCCCTCCAATTACACCCAATTCCATGCTGACCAAGTAATTACTTGGCCAAACAAACATGCCAAAGTGTGTAATTATACCCAATTACACCTAAATCCATTTCCAAAATGGCTTTCCAAACATGCTCTTAGTCTAACAGTCATCAAACATTTCATGTAGCCGAAACGCTACACCAATCAGGATTCTTTTCATTACTATATCTCAACAAATTGGAGAATTCGAGGAGAATTGCATCATATAGATATCAGATTTCGGTTAAAGAAATGTACATTGTATCTAAATATATAGTAACGTCTTCAAACGGGGAGAATTTGAGGAGTTGCAATAAAGTTCTTATTGTCCGCATCAAAATGAAAGTGAATCTTTTTCTTTGAGTCTTATGGTTGCATAATAATAATAATAATAATATTGATAAATGATGCAAGACTTGTACTTGGAGATGAATTTTAGTTTTAGGACCTACGCGTAAATAGTTGCACTCGCTATTCATCATCATATTTTTAACACAGTAGTCCAACAGTACTCACTAATTACATGTAGTCTAACCGGTACATTAATCAAGGTTCTCTTCATTAATAATCTCAAATAGTTGTAGAATTCCAAGAGTTTGAACTGAATAATATAATTCAATATGTATCACATGTAAAAACGTCTGGAGAAGTTGAAGAATCGCGATAAAATTTTCATTACCCGCGCCAAACTTAATGTATACTCCGATCCTATCGTTTTCTTTGAGTCTTAATGTCGCGGTATGGGACCGAAACGAATGTACTAGAAGTCATCGAATTGCTTTAGGCACTAACAATATTGGGAAGTTGGCATTACCATCGTGCGAACGCGGTCAACACCCCGCGTTCGCGATGAACAGAAAATCATTGACCAAAATTAACTCTTCCCGAACGCGGTGACCAACCCGCGAACGCGAACCTTCAGGAGCCTCAACTACGCGAACGCGTCCCTAGGCACGCGAACGTGATGAACAAATACTCAGGGCCCAACTTCCTTCTACGCGATCGCGGAAGTACAATCGCGATCGCGATGCTTCCACTCCCAGAACTACGCGAACGCGACCATGAAGATGCGAACGCGAAGACCAAATTTCAGGCCACCCAAATTCCCTCTACGCGTTCGCGACTCACCCATGCGAACGCGAAGAGCAATTTTTCTGCAACACCAACAGCTGAAACCTGCAATCATTTGAGTCCAAAAATGGTCCGATTGACCCTCTGAAACCACCCCGAGGCCCCCAGGACCTCAACCAAAAGCACCAACCCATCCAAAAAAATTATTCAAACTTGCTCCAATCATCAAACACATCAAACAATGCTAAAACCATTAATTCACATCGGATTCAAGCCTAAGTTTCTTTAAAACTTCCGAAATACGCATTTGATCAAAAACCCGACCAAAACACCTTCGAATGATCTGAAATTTTGCACACACATCAAAAATCACTTAACGAAGCTACTGCAACTCTCGGAATTCCATTCCGACCCCCGAATCAAAATCTCACCTACCAACCCAAATTCGCCAAAATACTACCTTCGCCAATTCAAGCCTTATTCTACATCGGACCTCCAAAATCAATTCTGGTCACACTCCTAAGTCACAAATCATCCCCCAAAGCTAACATAATCATCGGAATTCACATCCGAGCCCTCTAACTCAATAGTCAACATCCGGTTGACTTTTCCAATACAAGCCTTCCTTAAAGAGACTAAATGTCTCATTTTCTACCAAAACCAAACCAATTCGACTCTAACTCACCAAATGCCGATTACATGAAGAAGCAATAAATGGGAAAAATGGGGCGATAACACATGAGACGACGGGTCGGGTCGTCACATTATGTGATTGAATGTATATGTATGTTATCTTCTAAATTTAATCTGGTACCCGTTAGTAGAAAAGATAATTGGGTAACTGTGAATCTGACTGTGCTCGTTAGTAGAAAAGATAATCAGGTAATTGTAAATCTGATCGGTGCTCATTAGTTAAAAAGACAATTGGTTTGGTCAACTGTGAATCTCAATGGTGTTCGTTAGTAAAAAGATTATTGTTAACTCTGAATCTGACTAGTGCTTGTTAACTATGATTGAGATACATCATAGATGATTGTATTTGACCTTGCTTTAGATTTCAAATATTAAGATAACTAGTATTATTAGCTGCACAATGAACTTGTATCTCAGCTTTCAGATATAGTAGAAGTTAGAAAAGTACCTATATAAAAGAGGACACCTATGTAAAAGAGCAGAAGTTCAAGAACAACTAAGGAACACAACATTGGCTACGAGCTGTGATTTCTTGAAATATTTCTGCTTTCTTTCTTCCTAAATAGCACTAAATTCATGATACTTATTTCAACTTAGTTTGGTCAAGCTGCGGATATTCTTATCTCTCGTGCTTCTTGTTATGAATGATTGTTGTGTCATGGACTATTAAAGTAAAAGTGCTTTATTGAAATTTATTTAAAATTTAAATACTAGTGGGTCTTGCATTAAGCAGCAAAATATTAATATTAGATTTGAGGTGTAGCCTATCAATACAAGTATAATAAAATATATCGCACTAAGTTACTCTAGATGAGAATGGCTAAAAGTATATTTGACAAGCGTATCTTGTTGTCTCATCCTGCTCATGGCATTGTTAGTAGGAACAATTTCCTATCTCCCCCTCCCCTCCTAATGATTTTTTTGGTTGCTTTTTTGGATTATGTAGGGAACTTATTGAACCAAAAGATATTTCAAATTTAGAGAGGTTGACAAAACTTATCTATGGTTTAGTTGTTCCACTAAATTATTAAGCCAAAGTTGATGCTATTGTACCTCTGTTCCTTTGTAACAGAGTGATGTGGACACTTACTTTTGTATATGCTTGTCAAGATTTTTAAGTCTTTCTTTTAATAAATTCTTTTAACATTGTTCTTTAGGAGATCAAGAATTTGAAGTTTAAAGAACATTTCCCAGAAGAAAGTGCAGAGCAAGTAAAAGCAACTGTAAATATTAAAGAACAAGTTGAAGCACAAGAGAGACATGTTTTCTATTTTGTTTAGAGTTGTTTAAGGATGTTCTCACTTGTACATAAATTCTGTTCTCTTTTGTTAGGAGTTGACAACATACTGTCATACAAATTGTATAGGTATATTCTTGTAATATGATACTTTAGTTCTTTGTAATAGACTATAAAATTTTATATGAAACATATTATTGTATTTTTTAGATGTGTCTGTGTGTCTAAACCCTAAATCATATAAAGATTCAATTTTTGATTATTGTGGAAGATTAATAGACATCTAGCGAAGGTTAAAGAACTTTCAACGACCAAATTTGTTGTCGTAATTACAAGATTTAACGACTGGAATTATAAGTAGCGAAGGGAAATGTGGTCGCTAAAAATAGCTATATAACGACCGGATTTCTTGCTGTCGCTAAAGGTTCTTTAACGACCGACTTGAGATCCGGTCGTAAACTTTTAGCGTCGGGGCTTTTAGCGACCGGCGACGACCGGTTTTTTTCTGATCGTTATTGACTAATAACGACTGGATTAGGGCTTTTAACGACTGAATTTTCCTTCGCTAAAGGCCTATTTTCTTGTAGTGTAGGCTTTGTGGCGAGGTAAGTCTATTTTCTAAACTTGTAAGAGGGAAGTAACCCCATATGTGAATTGAATAAATGCGTGCTTCTATTTGTGGGGGCTACGTACGTACGAGGTGACGAGAGTCCGTACGTAGCTACTAATTATGCTATTGTTCGGATAGTCTAGGACCCATATCATGCTATACTTGAAATGTTTGCACCCTACTTGTTCACTTAATTGCCTAAGCCATATTAAAAATTGACAAAAGAATCGTAGAAGGTAAAATTTCACTTAT